AGCAGACCCTGGGGAAACATCGTCCACATCCCCCCCCCCCCAACCCAACCCCCCACTGCAGGTTGATGAGATAAAAGCCCGACTCAGTTTCAGATTCGGCCTCAGCTCCAATATTTGCTTCGTCAGAAAAACACAATGCGTCAGCTGTGCTTGCTCTCTGTGGGCGAGCTTCAAAGGCCAGTCCTCTTCTTCTTCTCTAGGATGGCCCTTAAGACCCTCCGAACAAATGTTCCTAGATGTGAGTCCTCTTAAACCCAATCAGGGAAGATATAAAATATTCCTAAATATGATCCTCTTCAACCCAATAAGGGAAATAGTAAATCTTCCTAAATATGAGTCCACTTAAACCCAATAAGGGAAGATATATAATGTCCCAAGGGCATACCTTGCTCTGGTACTTGCCTGGTTTTGCCTTTGTAGGTTTTGCTAGGTAGTACTCCCGACAGGCCCACCATTCGAGTCCGCCCCACACTCGAATTTTGGAGGTGGGCCGGAGTCTGTCCTAAGTGTCCTAGGGTTTAGGGTTTAGGGATTGCCCTCGGACAATTTGCAAACATTCACGCAACATCGTCCCCTTACTCGAATGCTTTATTTCCCCCTCCACCCTCCCCATATCAGGGTCCGGGCCAAGATGGCTCTCATTTAACGGCGCGCTTTTGGGTTAACTTGGTCAATGCCAACTCATGCGTTGAGCAGCTCTCAGCTTGGCTTAGCTGCTGTGTCCATGGACATCGTGAATGATTTGGGCTGGCATCGAACTCAACCCTGCCGATCCTAATGCGTAAGGATTGAAAGTTTCTTGTCCACGTACGATCGCAATTCATTGGGGATTGGCTTCGGGATCAATGTCGATGTTTTGACCTCAACCTGCCACTACTTGTGGGGATCCCTACAGATGGTTTAGGGTTTAGGGTTTAGGGTTTAGGGTTTAGGGTTTAGGGTTTAGGGTTTGGGGTTTTGGGTTTAGGGTCGCCACATCCTGCCTGTCACCGGAAGTGGGTTCAGGTGGCTGCACCGGAGCAAATTTTCGTACGTCCCAACTGGATATCACCCTTGGCCACGATCGGTCTATGAAAACTTAAAAAGGATGCCAAAGGTGATGCAGTGATGTTCGATCTCCGGATCCCTGGTTTCGTACTGCTTCTGAGTTGCATGTTGAACATTCTGAACACCAAGTTGATGTTGGTTGCAGCCACGCAAGTGGCATTCGCGTTACCATGACATCTGTAATCTGTAAGCGCTATCCATCCTGTATCAACCGCGACAGAGATCTCCCAAACGTTATCCCGCAAAAACAAGAAACCCAAGTCGAGGCAGATGAAATTCACATTGGGCCCTTGAATCAATCCATGGGTGTTGGTACATGTCCTATCCGCACTCAAAATCATCCAGACATGACCATACCAATCGGGCATACGTAGGCTAGGCGATGTCGCCGAAGCTCTGACTACGGAACCAGCCTCATAAGACAGAAGACTCGGGTTGAGTGAAGCCTTCTAATTCCCATACAGAGATGTTCATGGAGGTTTTCATGCCATTAGTCTAGTGGATGTGCTGGGTTAACGACAATAAGGGATCCCTAGTATAGATCCCCAAAATAATAGGATTCCCTTAGTATAAGGACCCCTATTAGGTACCCCAAATTTCGGGAAACCCTCATGTACAGTAATCATGCTGAGACTTATTAAACTCTCCGACCAGCCACTTCCCCAAGCCGCCCTGTTTTGCCAAATTCACGTAGGGTTTCGGGTTTAGGGTTTAGGGTTTGGGGTTTCGGGTCAAGCACCCCACATTGCCATCTTGCGGGCATCGCTGGGATTTTTTGGTCAGATGGTCCAGCAACCATCACAATCTGGGCGGCCCCAGGAG